CAAAGTATTTCTCTACTTACTCCTTTGAAAGATACTTTTAATGCGGAATGTTTTTTTTTGGAAAATGTATTTATTTTATTAACGTGAATGAAACTGATGTTTTCTTAAAATTTTATTATTCAGAGTTTTAATCAATTATGACAGAATGCTGGATTTGTTATCTTTATTCAACATTCATATGAACTTCAGTATTCCAAATCTCTCATGTAACTGTAATTTGCAGACTGTAATTAATAAATGCAGGTTATGCAGACATAAGGTAAAAATATGGAAGTAAAAGAAATTCTTCAGATCTAGGAAATTCAGTAGAATGTGCAAATATTCATCCTATTCGAAGCTTATTTTTGAAATTACATAGCATACAAAATGTAAATTTACTAAAAAGAGATATAATGAAGCTCAAGTACTCTGAAAAATCTGGACGGTAATTATACAAAACTAGTTATAAGGCAGTTTTCCATAAAAAAGTGGCTTTAGCGAAAGAACCATGCGAGCAATCTCCTGAAACTCTAAGTGGGCCTTTGATCTTCTCTCTTACGTAGAATTTACAATTCTACTTAACTTTTGTAACAGCAAAGATCAGGTGCTCACTTAAAGTTTTAGGAGACTTGTTGATCTCGAATTTGGGAGAACAGATGAATTTAGGCAAAGAACGTAAAATCTAGAATAGCTGATTTTGAGGTCGCCAATTATTCTTAAAGTGGCTATCGTATTTTAATTATATCTTACATATTCAAAATTAATTGTCTTGCTTTAATGCGTAGATGAAGGAATCCGGTACTTTAATTTCTGGCCTCTGAAGACACTTTATTGCATAATTGGAAGGAATAAATGCATGAAATGAAATGAAAGTAAACAGAAATGAAAATACGCGTGAATGAAAGTAAGCAGCAGCGTGGATGAGGAGCTTCTTTCCAGGAGGAAAGCGTAAGCGAAAAAAGGACGTGGCAATTCAGAGAAAGAAGGGAGGGAGTCAAAAGTTTCAGTTCCAAGTTAAAAAGTTTTGGTTTACAATTATTTCATTGAGCAAGAAGCATATGTATTAAGCGTTAAGTAGGATTGCATGATTAATTTGAATGACGCAGTTTAGCCTTATAGCGCTATTTTTAAGATAGCAAGAATTCCCCAAATTAAATAAAAAAATAAAAGAAGTTATAACCAATTAAAATTAGAAGTTTGCTTTCATATTTTTTATCTTACACAAGACGGAGTTCTGTTAAATCCTATTTGAATAATAAAGAGTCTTTTAACCCTTTCCAGGTTTAATTACTGTTTCATGAAATCAAGCGATTATTCGCTTACTGCCTCTTAAGATTCTTCACTTTCAACTGTAACTTAGAATTTCACAGTGGGGAATCCTACAAACTTATTCAATTAATACTAAATTGAGCATTACATTTCTACATCAAAGTTCGCAGATCAATCTGTATTTTAACGGAAATATTATCATAAAAAAATGAAAGCCCTTTATTGAACATTTACTTTGTGAAAACATTTGAACATTTATTTTATGGAACTCTTGAAAAGAGTTCCATAAAATAAATCTTTAGATGTCAAGGGAGTTTACAAATTTACATTTTACATTCTAAGAACTTGAGGACTTTAGAAAATTATAGCTGTATTAATTTATGATTTAGATTTATTTAGAAATTATATTGTTATTGTAATAGTTGTAACTTATATGTCTAAGTATATCCTAATCTGTATATGAGAAAGGTCATGCAATTTGCTACATAGTCCGAGATTTTTAGTTTAAGAAATTAATTTGATGCCCCTTGTCATCGCCCCTAGTAATCAGTCATCGTTTTTATTCTTTTTATTTAATCGTCATTGCTTTGCTGATATTTCATTAGTATATTTTAAATTACTTGAGTTTTTTGTATTATTATTTTACAATAGTTCACATAATCTTTAGTGGTTACTATATTAATTTCATATACTGTTTTAAACATATTAATTTTTGAACTTTCGTAATTTCCGTCAGACTCTCAGTTTTCCTATAATTTTTATTCTTTTCAATCATAGTGACCCGTTTCATTTGCTTCAATTTTATTTATTCGGCTACTTTATTTAATTTTAATTTCTTTCGCATTTTTAGCTTTTCGAATTTAATTTCATACACATTCGTATTTTTTTTATAATAGTTAACTTATTTATTATAATTTGAAAAGGAAATTTTTCATTTATAGAATTATAATTTCTGCAATTTCGTGCGAAAATTTTCTTTCGCAGTCTTTACGCATTAGTTTATTGTTGCTTATTTATTTCTTGATCTTTCGCGTGTAATTTTAAATATTTCGGTGTTTTCTAGCTTAATATTTAGATTCGAGCTTTGACTACCATAACAGGAACTTGGCATATTTTCAACTTTACATTAATTCACAAATTGCAATTATAATTTTACAATTACAGTCACTATTAATTATAAATATTTACATTATTTTTAACATTATGTACTTTGGGAGAAAATTTTAATTTAATTTCTTTCATTTATTTTGCGAATATTGCTCTAAAGCCACAATGAATTTACTAATTTTAAGCTAATTTTCTTTTCTTCCACTAATTAATTATGGCAATAAGATTACTTAACTTCGTATACAAGTTTCTGAGAGAAATTAGCAATTATTTACCTCGCACGTGCAAGGAAATTCCTAAAGACCAACTTAGAAATAAATTAACAGTATTTAACATTTTTAACCAGTCGGTCATCCAGGTCAACGCTTTCAATTTTATTTTAAAACGTTTACTTTTAGCTTTTGCATGTACTATTATTTTCAACGTTTTATTCGAAATAAATTCAGTAACATCTAATTCACTACCTGAGTAAAACGTCTTTCCTCGACATTTATTTCACAGTCAATCATACTTTAATTTTTATTATGTAAAACAGCGAATATTTAACTATGACGCTTCAGAATGGAATTTGCATAATAACATACGAACATTACGTACGAATGCTAAAACATACCTTATGTCATAGTTGGTTTATGATAAGAAGAACCTGTCATACTCGTTTACTGAATTGTAAACATCATTCCAGAGGAAGCAATCTATTAAGAAGGAGTAATCTTGTTTTATATATATGTTACGCAAAATAAATTTTCATTAAAATAAATAAAACATCAGTCCAACAAAAATAAAATGTCTCCCGTCATTGCAAATATTTATCTGATAGACATGGGCGCCTATAGAATATTTTCCAGAGGAGGGAGATTGGAGACAAATTGCATCAAGAAATTTTAATTTAATTATTCATTTTGGTAGGGCATCACAAGTAGATTTAAATTAAAGTATTGCGTCAAAACAAAAACATATGCACTATATGTGCATAAAATATATGTTTACTTTATTCCCAGGGGGCTCAAGTACCCCATTTGCCTCACCGGCTTACTCTCATGATGATAAATTACTTGCATGTATATTAAATATATTGGACGTTATATCAGGTAATCATGTTTTCTGTTAAAAGTGATATTTTCATAATATATTTTTACTTTATTCCCAGGGGGCTCAAGTACCCCATTTGCCTCACTTGCTTACTCCCATGATGATAAATTACTTGCATGTATGTTAAATATATTGGACGTTATATCAGGCAATCAAGTTTTCTGATAAAAGTCATATTTTCATATAAACCATTCGAAGCCCTTAAAAGGGTGTTTTAACTAACACTTGTGGGGGGGGGGGCTGAGATTACTTTTATTCATACAAACTGTATTATATATACATATAACGCGGAATATTTCGAGTTAATGAAGCAAAGTAATATGCAGCTTCAAAAATCAGAAGAAACAAGTTTTAGCAAAATTGCTTTTTATGCAGAAATTAAAAACAGCCATTAACACTTTTAACTATCCTTCTTATATGTAAACATTTCATTGTTGTTAATAGCAAAAATTACTCCACAAGCTCGCTAATTTTGCACAAAATTCATAGCAATTATGGAGAAAGTTTTGCAGATAAGACCAAACTTGGTAATTATTTTATTGAAGAACTGCTCTTGAATGTAGAAAAATTACATTATTTGTATGAAGTTTGGAAAACACATGAGATAAAACAAAATTAGCACCGAATCCATAAAGGATTAATTATTTGTCGTCATACATTATTAGTAGTATAAAGAATGCAAAGCAAAACATGGGGTAAGAAAATTTTGTATTATTCATAGCTTTTACTATGACTTTTAAAACTGATCATTCAAATAATGCACGATCAGTGAAAATGCATTTATTTGTAACAAATGATTGTGTTCCGTTATATGCTAGATAATACAACAACAGTTTTGATGGGGATGAATTAATGTAATCGTTCGAATTCGATGGTTATGAATACAGAAAGATACGCATAGCACTTTGTATGCCACAGAATTCATACACACAAAGTATACACACTTACGTACCCAGAAAGGCGCACATAAAGTGGCGACACGGCATTTTGGAGATGTTTATGAAGAACTATATTTACACAACATTCGTTTCCTAACTTTGCGTAAGTAATTACGTTAGTTTTTTTTTCATAAACTTTCGTTCATTAAGATAATATTTATATCGTTAAAGAAAATGAAAAAGCAAAATTTTAAATGGTTAGGTAATGGACACTAAATGACAAAAGATTTCATGACCAGACAAAGACGATTATGTCACTCAGAGGGTTAAGTGGAGGTTATTGAAAGCAGGTTTAGCGGCTTCCGGCAGTTTTTAAATTTTTGGAAGAGCGACTGTAAACAATGGGGGGGGACTATTACCGTATTTATACTCAAGTAATAGTCGCACTTCTTTTGCCGACTTTTTATTGTGAAAGTCTAGGTGGGACTATTAGGCGGGGAAATTTACACAGTACACTTCTGAAGATTTTTTTCTGCTTCGAAACGGGGGTGCGACTATTACGCAAGTAAACACGGTACTATTATTATTATTACTACTTGAAGAGTTCCTTTCTTTTATTCTATTAAACTAAGTTTCGAAGAACCTAGTGAATTGCTAAGCAAATAATCGCTTGGTTCAAAGAACAGACAGCTTAAACTCGAGAACGGTTAGTTGCTCTTTATTCAGTCGGCCTCTTTCTTTGGGCGTACAGCAAAGTCTCCGGTTGAGCTTAAAAGTAAGAAATAAGAACTAACTAATGACTAAGAGATTTAACCGAAGCTAACACAATTCTAAAGTAGTTGGCCTGTAATGTTAAATTAGCCAGTAAACTATCAAAAGGCACGTAATACGGCCGAGCGTAACAACAGCTTAGAAAGTGCTGAAGCATAGTAAAACCCATATGTATTTCACTCATATTACATTTAATCTTCCATAATAACAAACAAGTTTATAATGTCAAAAAGAAAATGCCGAAATGCTTCCGTAAGAGCGATACAGCATAGAATTTGAAAATAAATGTCTCTTTCGCCAATCTGAGAGATAATCGATTACTGTTTGGCGTTCAAATCTGTTTAGTAACGGGAAATGGTAACTAGCTACGCAGGTTTCGTGGAAATGCGGGTTCTTAGAAATGCCTCTTTCGATGTCCAGTCCCGCGTAGCGGAAATATATGTGATAGGGATTTTTAAATCCGGGACTTGTGCATTTAGGCAGTAATCAGGCCTTGTAAATGCCAAGTATCGTAGCTGAATTCACATGTCGTACATATTCATCAAAATTAACAACTTGTCGCATCTAAGCCAACGGAGGTACGGAACTGAATTAATTCTTCCTATTATTTAAACCAAACGGATAAGGAATAAATGAAATTGCAGAGTCTATTTGGTGTTTCAAAGTAGTAAACATAAAAATTTAACCCCTTGTCGGGATACGAATTCCGGGCTTTCCGATTAACTAGCTGGATATATTTTCTAATCACGAAGGCACGCACAAAGGACGAAGAAAATTCCTCACATTCCCCCACATTTTATGAGCGACTGGAGAAAAAGCAGACCCATCTGCTAAATCCAGATGTTATCGAATACTCACTCACTGCATTTTAGTTCCCGGATGTCTCATTTGGTTTTAGAGTCATTGGGATTATTTTGCAGCAGGTAACACGAAAAATCAACGATACCCTCATTACAGTGGACACAAAGGAATTTCTTAAAGCAGGGAAGTCGAGTGTCGAAAGTTCACCATTATCGTATCATACCCTAATACGCCGCCAAACATATTCTTTTGATTTTATCGATTGTCGCGAACAAAACAAAACAAAACAAACAAAAAAAAAAGTAAAAAATAAATTATTGGATGAATGATTAGCATTAATTAATAAAATAAATTATTAACACCAAATACTTAATTAAATTACAGAAAGCAAAGGAATTTTTGTATTTACTTTTCTCATAATTCAAAAATAAAAACAGCAAAGCAAATTCATCATTATAGAAGTACTAAGTCATAGAAGAAGAAAAATCTCTCTTTAATCAATAATTACAAAACTAAAAAACATGATGATTACAGTTTTTTCATTTACAGTCACCAGTCTGCTTTTATAGGCTTGCAAATAGTCACAGAATAAAATCAGTTTCCTTGTTGTTGGTTTTTAGTCCAAAGGGGCTTTGTCCCTGAAGATTATTGTTTTCGTTTTGCGATTTTGCTTCGATTCACTACAAAAGGCGAATCATTTTTTAAACTGTTGCCACAAAGTATTATCGCCCTGTGTTTTATTTAAAGAAATTAATTAATGAAAAATCTGCATAAAATGTATGTATATTTCTCGCATTGTGATAAAACAACGGTACATAGAGCCATAGAATTTTGAATGACGTAATCCTCCTACGAATATGGGCATCTGAAAGACAAAATTTGAAATTTGGAATTTGTTTTATTATCGATTTCCTATTTTGCAAAAACTTAACAAATTTTGGATTAGCAAACTCGAGGATTTAAAAGTGAGCAATGGCAACGTTGTACAGAAAAAACATTTTTATCTCCAGCGCGTGAGTCTCTGTATCGGAAATTCTAAAGATATGCTCATTTTAAAACTATTTTGCGATATTGCTGTTGAACTGAATTTTATGGTTTAAGTGCGAAGAACGTGATATTTAATAAATAAATGTAACACATAAAATGTTAAAAAAACGCCCCTCTGGGCGTAACTTAAAATCTGAAATATTTCTGTTTTTTTTTTTTTTTTTTTTTTTTTCCCCCCGATTTTAATTATAACTTCCTCGGAAGTAACACTGACGTTGCTTGAATTCAGCAGTGCAAGAGCACTTAAGCGTTCTTTATGCATGGTACTTCTTAAGTATGTTTTTAGCCTTCTCAAAGTCGAGAAAGATCTCTCGATTGCGCAATTCGTTATAGGAAGAATGCACAATTTTTTTTTTTTTTTTTTTTTTTTTTTTTAAAGTCTTTTAACATGAGGATAAAATTCATCATTGCAGGACAAATAGTATTCAAATGCGGATGGTGAGGAATCATGTTTTAATACCATCTTAAAGAGTTTCAGCTCGGAAAGAAAAACATCTCTGTGCTCTAAAAATAAAGGTTCGTCTTTTTAATAAAATTCGACCAATTTCAAAAAAGTAATTTACCTTTTCTGCATTATAAGTTGGGTTCATGAAGTACGAAAATTTTCTAAAATATTATTTCGCTTCTACAATCGTAGTTTGAGTTGTGAGATCATGTTGTTTATAAAAGGCAGTAAAATACTTCGCCTACAGTATTCTTCGGCATTAGCAGCTGAGACATTATTATGATAACCGGAGCCTTTTCCACCATGAAAAATGGGCATTTCCAATTTTGTGTTAATTCATTTTGAACCTTTCAATAATTTTACAGTTTCGTCATGTATTTCTTTAAAAATGCAATCGACATTAATTTTAAAATCCTCGAGTTTCCTGTTACTGAGTCTGCGTAATGTAGAGCTTTCTTCAAATCAAGAGTAATTGATTGTAAATATTTAAAAAACCTTTTAGTTGCAGCAAACAACTTACTTAAAAACAACAGGGATATTAATAAATCTAAATCTTATTTTAATAATGAGACACGAATTAAAGATGCATGAGTTGAGGCGTCTCTGTCTTTTCAAAATAAAATTTCTTCAAAGGCTGCTATAACGGCAGGAAAAAGCTCCACCAAGATGATTATAGAATCGTGTCTTTCAACCCATCTTGCCATGCACATTCCAACTATTTTTTTTTTACTCTGACCAATGTTCTTCAATTTTAGATTTTAGAACAATGTTCTCGTTTTGGTATGTTTTGGTTGTTCGAAAGATCTGAAATTTTGCTAAGTAATAGTTTGAAAACAGTACTTCGAAATATATTGAGTATCGATATGCAGTAAAAAGGGATCTAAGTAAGTGAAATCGTTCTTGAATATCTCCAGAGATTCCTGTGCTTAATTTATTAAGGCATAATAATGTTTTGCAAAATGCAATTTTTCCCCACGAAGAAGATAGTTTAACTTTCAGTAAAATTCTCTTCCTTACTTTGAGAAACTTTGTAATTGGGAGTACTTGTTTGGAATCAATACTTAAGAAAATAAAACCTGTAGCTCTTATTTTCAATGATGCGTACAGCTCGTAAAACTAACTATTATTATATAATATTTCAGAAATGTCATTTTACAGAAATTAAAACTGTGAGATATTTAACAGCACTGCCATTGAAGAAATACTTAATAACTTTTCTTTTCGCATTAGCTTGCTTCTTTTAAAAGATTTAATTTCCTTTATAGATTTTTATTTATTTATTTATTTTTTGTTTGTAAAGTTCAGTGTTTCATACACACTTTAAAAAAGGCGCATGTACTTTGCAGGGTTTCCCTTAGTTTGAATAACCAATTATTTTAATTTTGGTATCTTTAGTGAACTTCTTATTTCCCCTCGCATTTCCTCCCCAGGATGCAAGTTAAGTTAAGTGAAAAGCGTATTTGAACAGGAACTGAAAAGGTTACACAGAGCATGATTTCGCTAGCTAGCGCATGTTGCTATTCTGTCCTCCAGCTGTTAATCTTAGTTGCAGCTACGCATTCTGGCCCTTTATTAAGTTTATCACCCGTGTAGGTTGCTGAGTCAGCCTGTTAACTTTAAGTAAATTGTGTAGTCTAGCACTATTAGTTACCATTTTGAATTTGTTGTTAAATTATCCTTAAGTTCCCAACGCAAGTAGTCGACGTTATTGAGCACGAAGTACGTAGCTTTTTGTTGAAGAGTTTGAGAAATGAAAGGGAAATTCCCTGTATTGTTACTTTCCCTGTATTGTTACTCTTCACGCCTGTACGAGAAGTCGCTGGGCTTACTACTAAGAGTACGTCACTTACTTGCATGATAGCGAAAGCGATCTTACAGTCTTAGGTTATGAAATATGCATCCTGAAAGTTGTTGCACTGAAGTACCTTTTCATTCTGAGAAATTAAAAATTAAAATAATAATAATTTGTAGAGTCATTAGGTTATTTTTAAAGCAGGAGTGATGAAAAACGAGCAACGCCCTCGCCGAGAATCGAAACATAAACCTCTGGAATACGCGCCTAGCGTGCAGACCACTACACTACGAAGGCATGCTAAGAAGGGAGAAATACCTTATAAGTTAAATAAATAAATCACTTACAGTTGAAATTTTAACATATTAGTTTAGTCATTTATTTATAAAAGTAGGAAATAACATCAGAATAACAATGTAAAATACAGTCTCCTAACTTAAATACCCATAGCAGCTTCTAATGCATTCGAACTAGTCATTTTACAGACGAAATAGAGATAAGATTTTTCTAGGTATAAAAAGCACATTTCTTAGGTTAGTCATTTCAATAAACAGGAAACTGAAACAGAATGACCCACTTTAAAAATGTTTATTGGCAATACTTACAGTGTAAAAACATTAGCGTATGTGACAAGAGCGAGACGTTTAATATTATTAAGGTGATCAGTAGGTGACAGTCGCACTTATGAACTTTTAAAATAGGTTTTTCTTTTTATTTCTCTATCTTATTTATAAGAAGCAAATAACCGAAAGAATAAACTTCCTGTAGAAAAATGTTTGCCTCGCGTTGTCTTCTAACGGAAAAGGTCAAATAATGTTCTAAAAAGCTTGAATGAAATTCTTTTTCATTAAGAATGTTGCTCGTGATGCGATTTTTGTGTTTTATTATTACCCCTACGTTTAAAATATGATGCCAGTCTTTTTAATAAACGTAGCAAAATTAAACAAATATAGAAAAATCAAAAATTGGCGGCGGGGGTAAAATGTCACCTTCATTTTCGGTATACTTAAAAAAAGAATAAATAAATAAGAGAAATACGGTAAAGATAAAAATATAAAAGTTAAATACATAAATATTTTTTTAAATATTATAAAACAGTGAATTAGAACTAAACAGTGTAATATAATGCAGATGTATTGTTAATACAGAGAACCTGTAAATTATCCCAAGGGCAAACTGAAAGAAATTACTAGATGTTCGACAGTATCATAATGATTACGTAAATTTTTGGAAAAAATTGGCCATGTAATCTGAGAAGTCATATTTTCAGATTGAAGTTCTCAGTAACCACACACCTGCATCCAATATCTCACATAACTTTGTTCATTGTGAAAAATCGAAATATTTAGAGACACACATCGAAGCTTGCTGATCGCAGAGATGGTCTATAGTTTTCACCATCATCTCTCTCCGTATTACATATCAGTTCAATCTCGAGTCAAATGTCAAATGGGGAAAAATGATGAGGGGAGAAAGGGCCGCGGAAAATGCACGCACCCCTATTCTTAGGACTTGCTTCTTTGTTGACGTTACGCCTCCATACTTAAAGAAAAGAAACGTTCCACTCTGAATAAACATCTAAACGCTCACCTGTGGAGAGAAAACGTACGGTCTTAAACCGGTGTGCAGTTTTACCTTTAAGGGGGGGGGAATCTCTTAAGTAAAGAGAGTATTTCTTTTTCCTTTTACTTCTGCTGTCTTCTATCTGTGATAGCAGAATAAATCTAGCTGTCAAACAGCCCATTACTCCTCTCAGCAGGCATCAACGACTGTCATTAACTTTAAACCAATCACAGTATTCGTCTCTTTCTTTAGACTCATAAGCGTAGGTGAACGATACAAGAGAGGGTCAAGGATTGGCTATGAAGAATGATGGATGGTTTTTGAGACTTTGCAGCTGAAGAAGTGTTTGGGTTGCAATATTTGGCAAACTATCGCGTTCAGGAACTTTCACATTTGCAGTTCTTTTTTCCCCCTTAGAGCGAGTATCAGCTACGTCCGGTAAAGTGATTTACAGCTGTGCATTCAGGGCACGTGTATAGGTCTCATCTCTAAAGAAAGACCTCCCTGGAGCTAAGCTCACGAGTAGTTCCATCAAAGAATGCCACTGCAAGCCAGGTGTTATAGTGGTTTACCATTAATAAAGAGAAAGCAGCACATTGTATCCTTAAGGGATGCACCGTCAGAAAAATGATGACAAATTCTTTGTCCTCCGACTAATAAACAAAAGGTGTGTGGAAGGAAGGGAGAGAAGTTCTCAAACATCAAAAAATATTTTAAAGGCAAACACAGAATTTAATAAGTGCTGCCAAGAGTTTCTTCAAAGTTAACTGAAACACTACAGAATATGTTACTCAGAAAAATTTTCCATGCGCAAGTATTTGCTTATTTTCACTGACAAAGTGAAATAGACTTCGTTGCCTGGTAAAGCAGGCTATAGACTTTGCTTTTGATTTTAAACTGGTTTTAATTATAGATTTAATGTTATTCCTGACAAAGAGAAATGGACTTTGTTGTCTGGCAGAGCAAGCTAAAAGACTTTGCAAATGAATTTTATACTTTTCAGATTATTACTTATTCTACTCTTGTTTATTAATGTACTACTTGTTTATTAATTCTATTTATTAATATTCAAATGCTAAGTTTCTAATGCTAATCACAGAGTGTAAGTAACTACATGTTCGCTATACATTCAACAACACAAGCTGATACAAAAACATTAGCTATTCGTCGGTTCACCACACATGACACAATCTGTTCGTAATCTGTGCTCAACTGTTAAAGAATACATATATTTCTATTATGAATGTATTACAAATAATGACATGACAGTGCCAAATTTCGCTAATAGGTATGCCGTACTCATATTGGACAGTTCGTCGTCTTAATTTGCCATCCTTCTTTAATTTTCGCCTTCGGGTAAGTGAGGCGATCGCACCCTGAACATTTAAACTATCGTGAGAGCCTTAGGGTAGAAAATAGATATTTCTCGTTAAAATTCTATGTAATTGATGCCACTAGTGAGAGAGAAGATCCAAATCCAAGGAAGAGAAGGAATTCTCAGGAAAAAGGAAATGGGAATTTATTTCTAGGAAAATATAATCTTCGAAATTATCTTTTTTTAAATCCCCTTCCCCCCCCTCCCTAAAAAAATAGCAGAAAAATTTTAGAACAACCAGAAAATAAAAATTTATCTGAAATATTCGAAAACAAATAGCTCAAAGAATTCTTCATTTAGCCTTATTTTGTTGATTTATTCACGGAATAAGTTCTTTATTCAAGACACCTAATTTAGTCATCTTAATCTGTACGCGTGTGAGATAAAAATATGTAAATCAAAATTCTAACTTTAATTTGCAATAGTCCCTTAATTCTCCATTTTTAAATATGGTTATTTCTCCTTTCCATTCTAAAAATAGTAACTGTTTATGACAAATCTCTCTAAATAATATATTTATTTCAAGAAGGAAAAGAAATTGAAAGTATTTAATAACAAAAATGCTTATTTGTAGCCTGGTATAGCAGT